AAATCGAATAAAAATATTCAGCATTTCCAAATAACATTTTCTATTTCAGATCATTTGTTTATAGTACTAGAATAGTTCATTACCACCCGAGACAGGTTTTTCCAAACGCGACAGCTTTTTCGCATGACTGTATAAGAATTATAATCAATCTTGTTGGCAGTTTATTTATTTTTTTTGTTTAAACAATTACTAATGTATAAGCATAGCTTTAAGTAAAATGTTCTTTATATGCCATCTCAATGATGATGAATGACCAATTTTAATTATTTTTTGTTTTGGCAAAAAACTACAAATTCGTTTTTTAATTGTATTTAAATGATTAAAGTTTCTGATTTTATTAACAACTTCACAAAAACACATTATCTTTCTCAATTGAGATGCTATTTGCGATTTATTTAACAATATTTTGTATGTGTTGTATTTTATTGAGTTAAGCTCAAATCAAATAACTTTTCTTTTATTTTAATAATTATGTTTGTTTTTTTCAATTTTTTAAAAAGAAATAACAAAATTTAAAAACGGGATTTCAGGATGTTTATAAAAAGCATACAAACCTTTGAACTGCAATTTTTTAATATGGTTGTTAACTTACCTCTCACTTTTAAAACTCACTTGTCAAAAAATGACTCACTACTTCTCTTTTTGACTCACTTTTATAAAAGTAACTCACTTAAAAAATAATTTACTATTTCAATGGTTTTTTAAATAATAAAATAAAATTTCTTCAAAATAATAAAATATAGTTTTTATTTAAATTGCTATATAATTATTCACTCAATCAAAAACTTGACCATTTGGGCAAATTTGCCATTAATCAAAATAATGTATATCTAAATTGTGATGAAAAAACAAAAACAAATAACAATTTGATTTACTTAAATTATTTTTGTTATTGAATTAAAGTTTTCATAAATGAAAATAATAAAAACAAATCGATTAATTGATTTAAAAAAAATACTTATTGTGTTCAATAATTATATAGTTGTCAACACGAAAGATATCGCCATACAAATACAACGAATTGAATGTGTGTTACACATTTAAATTTATTATAGGGTACCGAGCTCGA